AAAAAGATGTAAACTGGAAAAAATCCCCACAACTTATATCTGTGTGGAAATGGGCTGGAAAAGAGGTTGTTCCTCAGGAGAGGTCATCAGAAAGACAGAGTTGCTTTGGAGTAATTATAAACGTGTGACACACACTACGGGCATTGAGGTGGGCCCGGCAAAGGCCAAGGTGCAGGCGGAGATTTGGGGCAAAAAAAGTCTTGATCCCCAGTTTGGGGAATGGAGGGAGTTTGGCCACATCCTCATCTGCACATGCGTGATTTGGCCCCAGATCCCCCTGAGGTGCAGGACGGCAACTGCTGCCGCCTTGAACTAGCAGCTCAGCTGGGCTGAGGAGGACGAGGGATGCTCTGGACGGTGCTTTGGAGAAGGTGAGAGGGAGGAAGGCAGCCCCTCGGAAAACCCTGATGCTTCCYAGGCAGGTTTTGTTTGTAAATAAGCAGCCTCTGTTTCCAGGGCAGCCCCATGGTCGCCTTTCATCCTCCTCCTCCTCCTCCAGGAATTTGCTAATGAGTTTTGGGGCCAGGTGCTGAGTCACCTCAGCCCAGCCTAAGTGTGGTCTCACCTACAGCTGCAGCCTCTGAGCTGCCTGGGAATAACGCTGGGAAAAGGCGTCCGCCTGCCTTCCTCCTCTTCCTCCTCCGCCCTGGCCCTGCATCACCCTAAAGAATAATAACAACAAGAAGAAAAAAGGGAAATGGGCCACCACGTCTTTTCCCAAAATGAAAATATGGAAATGCAAGTGTGAGGATTGGGGGAAAAAGGGGGACCCCGCAGAGCATCGGCATTCCTGAAAGGCCCAGGAAAGCACTGGTTATGCTCTGTGTGGAGCAGCCGTGTTGTCAGCTTGCTTTTTTTGGCCTTTTTTTTTTTTAATACTAAAAGGGCCTGGTGTTCACCAGTGTTTCCAGTAAAAACCCATCCAATTTGAGCCATTCATCCCACAAGAATGTGCGGGATGCTGGGAACTCCGAGGGCTCGYGTCGGCACAGGAGCCCAGATGGGCTTCATCCACAATCGTTTCACTCCCAGTGGCTGGAGCGCTTCACTCRGGATGCTAATAGCATGAGTAATCAGAAACCAACATCCCGTAAATTATTTATCTTATCTCTAGAGTTTGGCAGGGTATTTTAGCCAGCGACTTCTGCGGAAAAGGGGAAAATAATAATAATAAATTTTAAAGAAAAYGCTGCGAGTCAAGAAAGCCCGGCTGGAGTCTCCGCTTTTACTAGAAAAGGGAAAAGTTCGGGTTCGGCTTTGCCCGTGGGTACCACAGGGGCGGCACAAGGATGGTTGAAGCTGTGGAAAAAGGGAGCAGAGCCGGGACTGCTGACCACGTGCCCGGAGCCGAGGTTACCTTTTAAGCCGCTTCCCTGGGATKGGGAGCAGGGCAGGAAGCAGCCGCCTCGTCACGGAACAGGATCCCAAACTGGCCCAACTGCTTGCGCTGCTGCCAGTAAAAGCGGTGACTCTGCCCTGGCCGGCACTCGCAGGGCACCTCCAAGGCCCGCATCCCAAGCCAGTCACCCGGCGGGGAGGGAACCCCACGCAGGCCAAGCGGAATATCCCATCAGGAGGTGTCCCCAGCACGGCCGGAGCCCCCCAAGCTCCTCGGCACCGACCAGGGTCGCTTCCCTCCTGCGGCCGGTTTCACTTTCAGGTTGACGCAACCTGCCAAGGGCTTGTTTGTTTTGGAAGCGGCCGCTCCTGCCCCAACCTGCTCCAAATAAAAATTCCCTTGGCAGGGTTTTCACGCCACGCTGCGGAGCAACCCCCATGCCGATGTGGGGGGGAAGCGGGAGCGCCCACTGACTGCCCAGCTTCAGGGGGCAGCCGTGTCAGGAAAAGGAAATTGCCTTATTTTTTTTAATTTTTGCTAACATTTTTTCTCAGTGGCTTGTGCACACGTGCTCACACCGGCACGGATGCTCGGTACCCCCCGGTGCGTGAGCACAACTGCGCGATGCTGCCCGGGAGCTGGTGACACGCACCACGCGGGGTACCCCGCGCGCGTGCCCATCAACCGCGCGGCGCCCGCGTGTCACACCCACGGCACCCCCGCGTCGCACACGCAACTTGTCCCGCGGTACCCCCATCCCTTGCACACAACCTGTCAGGGTTGCCTCCGTGTCCCGCACCCACCCCGTCACGGGCACAGCACCCTCCTCCCTCCCGGGGTGACAGCAACCTGCCACCCCCAGCTCACGCGCCCGCTGCCCGCGCGCTGTGCGCTCACACAATGCCCCGCACGTCACGCCACGTCCCGCCGCCCCCGCGCGCCCTCCC